GAAGCATGTTTTTTGTTTTTTACTGTTTTAACACATAAAGCTGCTGCCATACATCCTGAATTCATACTTAAAGTAATTCCAAGGCTTATTTTTATTCATACTAGGTCTACTTCATACTTTTACTTTATGTCTTTGTCTATGGAGAATATTTAGAAAGGATTGTCCACATGATAATGTTCCCTGTTCAGCTGGAGCTGACTTTGTTCTAATGTTGTTTTTTCCCTTTACAGAATCCTTGTGGCAGTTTCAGTCTGGAAGGAGAAATCAGAGGGAGGTGCAGGTCCAGGGACCCAGTTTCCCTCAGAGGACAGGTTGTTTATTCAGTTATGAAACTATAACATCATTTTTTTCACTTCTGTTTCAAATGTATCTACCAAAACTCTTTTATACACTTTATATACATTGGAAATGGCCTTTGCTAAATGTCTTAATGTAAATATTTGTGTAAGATTTTTTGCCTATTTAACCTTCATGTTCTTAAATTGTATTTTCTTTGTTTTTGTCACAGTTTCAATAAAGACAGATGTGGTTTGAGAAGACAGTTTGAAGTTTTGTTATTTGTCTTAACATTTTAAGTTGCAATTTGAATGGCACTGTTTATAAAACATGGTGTTTTATAACAAGACATGCAAGGATTAATTTATCAAATCACTAGGTTTAGAAAATAAATATATTGTGTCCATTTTAATAGAAGGAACTGAATCTATAGCTAGGTGTAGTAGATACAATTCACAGTAAAAATCTGCAAATATACCTCTTGTGAAGAAGTGTAAATAAACAGTATTAAACAGTTAATCCTTTCAACAGTATTTTCCTGTTAAGGTTTAAAATAACAGCTTTTTGCTGTATTTACAAAAACGGTAGAAGACTGTAAATTTCAGCAACAGCAATATACCGTTAACTTTACAGTAACTTCCTGGCAACCCTACTGCCAGTTGTTTACCGTTTTTAACAGGGGAATTTCTAAGAGTGTACGACGCTGCCTGTTGGGATTTTAGGGTGGCCGGTCAGATCTGAAGTGGGGCCCAGGCCACCCTGACCAGACTCTGGTTCCCCCCTGTCGCCCAGGCCAAATGACCTCAGCACATCCTGCCCGTGATGCTTGCATACACATCCGGAAGCGCCCTATTACGCAACATTATTGATGCAAACGCAGGACTTCTCAGTCATCTGCGTTTGCAATTTGCGCAATTTTAGCCAGATGTTTCCAAACAGCTTGAGTCAACCGTTACTGCCTGTGAGTTAAAGACAATGCATGGCTCACCTACAGAGAGCACCTCTGGCATAGCGGTTTATGGTTGATAATCTACGTCATGAACGGGAATGAAACGGCGCTTTCATCAGTATCCTTTTAATGTGAAATCAGAATGGTTACATTAACATTCAAACATGCACAAACAAAAAGCCAAACGCAGGCCTGAGCTGCCTGTTAGCGTCGATTGCAGGTCATGTGATGGTGTGCAGAGTGACGTTTAAACCTGTTAATTCGTTTGAGGGATTAGAGGGATATAAAGCGGGTTCATACAAGGCGCAGAGCGGAAGTCAGAGGTGTGCTACTTGTTGTTCAGACTCTGAGCTCTGTTTGAAATCCATCACAACATCCAACATCACCGAGAACTTCACAGAAGATGATTTACAAAAAGCCTCAATAACAGAAATATCCCTATCTTTGTTGATTTACTGCTCAGTAGGAGTGGTGCTAAATGAGGAGTTTATTGTTATCATACAATATACACAAAGATCAGGGAAGGCTTTAGCGTGAGTGCAGGCCTCATAGGGACAGTGTGAAAACATCCACTGAAGAAGGAAAAGGACACACAGGCTGGACAATGCTCCTTACACAGTAAGAAAAATGTAAGAAAAGTAAGTAAAATGTAAGAAAAGTGTAAAAAATATGTTAAGACCTAAAAGAAATACATCCAGGTAGAGCATGAGATGAAGTTGAATGCATTATGGTGGCTCAGTTTCTCCTGCAACAGAAGTTTTTGTTTTTATGTTTTACAATATGGAGTCCATGTGCAGCTTTTCTTTAAATACTTTATATGCGATTTTTCACACTTAAACATAATAGAAATCAAGTATATCCTCTGAAAATAACTGTGTGAGTCATGACTGTCTACAATGGTGAGTCTACAAGTGAGTCCCACTGTCTGTGATGCTTTCCGAGTTTTCCGAGTCCTATCTTCAGTTTGTTTACATCACCGGGACGGACAGCTGACTCCTCCCCTCGCGAATAAAAGTTGTTTAATTGAGGGACTAGAGAAAAGAAGAATAACATACTGTACTCACTGCTTAACTGCGTTTCTAGATCACGGTAATTTCAGGCAAATTTACATGCAGTGTGAAGATACAAGCATAATAAAGATCGCTAGCATTAGCATGCTAACACAACAATGCAGCACAAGTTATTTTGGTTTCATGCTGGTGCTCGAGGGCGACATCTGCTGGATCAAAAAATCGCATATAAAGCCTTTAAATATCTAAAACAATCAGCTGATCGAAGCTACACGCTGACATTAGTCACAAAAACAGCCTTGTTTATTTTAGGGCTTTCAGCCTTTACTGGATAGGACAGAGGATAGAGTGGGAAACCAGGGAGAAAGAGAGCCAGTGGAATAACATTCGGGAAAGGAGCCACAGGCTGGAGTGGACTCGAACCCGGGCTGCCCACTCGAGGACTATAACCTGGACTATAACCGGAAGCAGCTGGATGTTTGGCAGCACTGTGAGTCCAAGACTAATTTCCCCAAGGAGACAATAAAGTAAACCTATCGTATCATAACTTCCATATATGAGGTGTGACCTAACCGTTAGGCCATCTGCGCTCCATCCACAGGATATTCAAACATGCCGCTTTTTCTGTTAGTCCCTTATAACCACTGTCCCACAGATGATGTCACCTGACTACAGAGTGTCTAACTCCGCCCTTTAGCGTTGGATCAGTATGCTAGGCACTAGCAAAAAAGTAGGACAGTATGTATAATTTATTTATGTACAATTCCCAATTTTTGAAGCCAATAAATGCGTACTGAACCCACAGGGGGAAAAAACAAACCGGGCCATTTAATGTAAACGGGGCTTTTGTCACCCCCTGTGGACAAAGCAGTACCTCTTGTCTGATTGCTGAGTTTGTCCCGTAACATTCAAATAAATCACTCATCAAGAATCTTCGAAGCTTGAAGTTACGTCTGACGTCTTCTCCCGGCCACAGCTTCAATCATTAAAAATTACAATATAGAAAATGTTGATGTTTGTGTTGATGGTTTTGTTTGCTTTTGAACGTCAGTTAAGAGGCTTCAATGTTAATATCAGTCTGACTCGTCTCCTGCTAAAAACTCCTCACGGGAGCTTTAAATATTCAATCTGTGAAACAAAGCTGGCACCCGAAGTGGAGCGATCTTTGTATCACATTCACACGGGTCAAAGGAATTTGAGCTTTGTAGCTAATTCCTCTATTCATGACACCTGAGGGGTTAATAAAACATTCCCATTTAAATCACATCAAGGCTTAAGTTGATGCATCATTAAGGGCACGGCCAGGTGGAGGGACAGGTGAGTGCAGCTGGCTGTCCTAGTAGAGGTGTCACCTCAGCTGGTTCACTCACCTGACTTCACCTGAGCCGTGTTTGAGGCGCATGTCGGCATGTTTTGAAAACTGAGTGGACCAGGCTTTCCCAACCTTGGGGTCGCATGGAATTGGAATGGGGTCGCCTGAAATGTGTATTCATTGATGAATAAAAAAGATATTGAACACAGCAGGTTACTGTTGAACATGAACCTTCAGATTCTCTGTCTGTCTGCCGTCTATCGTGCAGAAATGACCTCCCAGCCTTTCTTCCTCTGTCCACACGAACATGAAAAAGCCTAAATGTGCTCTGAGGTGAATGTTTACTGGATCGCAGTAGAGAGACATGGTTGAAAACAAATAAATGTGAGCAGAAAGCTGTTTGTGTTTTGTGAAGTCAAAGAGGGTCACGAGCCGAATAAAGTCGGGAACCAATGGAGTAGACTCTCCAAGAAGCCTTGGCTCCAGCTGTTGTGGTGACTCGATGAGAGCATCAGGATTTGAGCTCAAACAAGAAGGAAGTGGAGCCAGTTCTCACCAGACTTAGCATTTTAGCACTTTCTGAGTTTCTCATATATTCTTGCTGGCAGTCTGTGAAATGAGTCACAGCTCCATAGTCAGAGAGAGCGAGAGAGAGAGAGAGAGAGAGACAGAGAGAGAGAGAGAGACAGAGAGAGAGACAGAGAGAGAGAGAGAGAGAGAGAGAGAGCGCGAGAGAGACCCTGAACTGTTGAAATCCTCCTTAGTTCCCAAACTCGTATAAAATGTTGTTAAAAGAAGAGGTGATGCAAGAATGGGGTAAACAAGATCATGTCCCAATTTATCTGAAAGGTGTTGCTGCATGGCAAGATTTTCTAACAGTGAAATTTCTCAGTTTCAACAAGTGAAATGTTGTCTTTGTGCAATTTCCGATTAACTGTGGTTTCAGTGTCTGGAACTACACAGTTCATCACATTCTGTTTTTTTTTTATTTTCCGTTCACATAACATCACATTTTTTTAGGAAATAGGACGGGTGTGTGTGCTGGTAGATGACAGGTGTGTGTGCTGGTAGATGACAGGTGTATGTGCTGGTAAATGACAGGTGTGTGTGCTGGTAAATGACAGGTGTGTGTGCTGGTAGATGATAGATTTGTTCTGGTAGAGGACTGATGTATTTTTTTTTAGAAGAGAGGATAGGTTGTATATGATGACAGAGGATATAAATGTGTTGTTGTGTTTTTTAATAGAGAGGTGTTCTGTGCTGGAAGAACACAGAGGTGAGTAATGCTTGAATCAAACTCACTGCAGTATCGGAGCTTCTTGTTTACCAGCGCCGGGGGCGGAGCCACAGTTTCGTCACGGATATGGGAGGTCTTTTTTGCTACGCTTACACCTCGCCGGTGTCCAAATATGGTTCGTGACGTCACGCGCCGGAGGTTCCATTCAGATAAAACTGCTCGACCGGAATCCCCTTGGAGGACATGTAGGCACGGACGCGCACGGGACTCCTCGCTCGCCCGTTTCCGCCGTTAAGGATTTATCCGTTCCCATTCTTCAGGCAATAATAACACCTCCGGGGCCGCTACCACCATGAAAGTCTCCAGCATCGACTGCCGGCGCATGAGGAAACTCATCAGGAAGGATTGTGCAGGGAGCTGCCTTATTGTGGATTGTCGACCTTACTTGTCATTCACGAACTCCAACATCACAGGCTCTGTCAATGTCAATCTAAACTCCGTGGTGGTCCGGAGATCCCGAGGAGGGCCGGTGCCTCTGCAGTTTGTCATCCCGGATGAGAGAGCCCTGATTCGGCTTCGGGAAGGGAACATATCGGCCATCGTAGTTCTGGATGACCGGACGTCCCACTGGCAGAAGCTGAAAAAGGACAGTGTAGCACAAATAGTAATAAACACCCTCTCACATCTAGCCAGCGGGGCGAGCATCTGTTTCCTGAAAGGTGAGAGCTTTTGAGATGTTAAACTGTTTTAACCCTCAAAATGAGGAACTCTCAGTTAGGCTATAGAAAAGAAAAATGTGTGTCGTGAAACAGTCTTCAAACATGAACTATTCTCCTCCTCGGCTTCCTTAGTTTTAATGACTCTAACCGCTTTATAACTTTTTTTAAAATCCTATAAAATCCTGATCTCGTTAAGGCCAGGTCATCTTGAGAGCAGCCTACATGTCTTTTTTTTTCTCTCACATTTCTTGGAGAGGTAAAGGTCCATGTGTGCGTCAACGGAGCGAATGAGTCAGTGCGGGAGGGAAAAACGCACACAAATTGGCGGTGTGATGACTTTCATTGATAAAAACAAGAAACAGAAAACTCAACCCCCCATCCCCCCCCCCACACTCAGACTCTTCTTTTAGCTGATTTAATCCATCTGGGCTGTGATGTGTTAAAACGCATCCATTTGCGTCTGTCACCTCTGCGTCCTCCGGATGTCTCTCTCAAAGGATTACCGGTCCTTCCAGCGCGAGCTCCTGTAATTAATGACGCGCTCATAATCAGGTTATAAAGGTTATAATCCCGCTGCTAAGACTGTTTCATAAACGATGCCATTTCACAAGATATTTACGCGCGTGTCAGGAGGGGAGAGGTGGAAATGTTCTAATCTTATTCATGTGTGTTTATTGTCCCCCCCCCCACCTCTTTTCTCTCTCTCAGGAGGATACGAGAACTTCCACTCTCAGTACCCTGAACTTTGCACTGAGGTGAAAACCATCGACCAGGGCGGAACTGAAACTGAGAAAAGAGTCAGCAGTCACAGCGAGAAGCTTTGTCACCACAAACCAGATTATGATCAGGTATGGAAACACCCCGTTCACAGCTCCACTTCCTTCTCTCTCACACACACACACATACATACACAGGCCACACGGGTTTTTATTTTTATTTTTAACCTTATTATAAAAAGAAGAAGGAGAAGAAAAAACTAGACGCTTGGCGCCATGAGATTTATATCTGGCATCAAAACATTTTCTCAGCATTCATTTGATATTCTCTGACCTTCAGTCATCTCATGTGTGGCTAAGAAAAGGCAGCGAGCACGACGACCCCTCCGAGAGAGAGAAACGCTCTTTCATCCCTGACCTTTCCGTGTCCTCCAAACACAAACACGAGGCTGCTTCAACACTTGATTGTGTCTGTGTTGGAATATTGTGGCTACTTTTACACAGAGCCTTATAAAGTAGGGGGGAATGTAATCCCACAGCTGATGCGTCTGCGTACGTTTAGTCTGTGCCTGAACATGATGTTCTGCCTCGAGCTCTTTGGGGATGACAGGTGTTTATGCGTCTCTCCTCAGGGAGACCGTCCATGTTTTTAATCACACTGTGTTCTATACTTGAGTCTTTTCTGTGAATGAACTCATGTCCCTTTTTGTCTTTTCTCTCCCTCTCAGGGTAAACCCGTGGAGATCCTGCCTTTCCTCTACCTCGGTAGTGCCTACCACGCCTCCAGACAGGACTATCTCAGCGACCTTCACATCACGGCCTTGCTCAACGTGTCCCGCAGAGACATGCAGCCGGCCAAGGGCCACTTCGACTACAAGTGGATCCCAGTGGAGGACAACAACATGGCTGACATCAGCTCCCACTTCCAGGAGGCGATAGAGTTTATTGGTGAGTCGAAGGGGGAACCTTTACTTTTTCTAGAAGGACAGAGTTTTATGTGTGAGTCTGAATTTTAAAAATGTCACAGCAGGATTTTAGACTTTCTGATGCGTTATTCTAAGGAGATGCTCAACACTTGAAGTAACTCACAGGAAGGGAATTAAACACACCACCACCAAGCTTTAGAGTCTTTTCCTGGCGTCTTGATATTTCTGGTGCAACATTACCCTTAGTTTCTAAAAATTACCAACAAGCTGAGTAAGTGAGACGACTAAACATAGATCTGAGTATTTTTTGCGGCTTTCTATAAGCCCCTCTTTTCTGTTGCTTCTCACCGGCTGCCATTCAGAAATAGAGGGCTATAAGTGACCTCGCTGTAATCAGTTTAACTTGATCGCCTGCTTCAAATCCCCTACAAACATATCCAGCTAGTCTGCTTTCATTCAGGATTTGCTCACTTCCCCCATTCCCTTGCGACCTCACTCCATCCACTCCCCCCCCCCACAGTGTCTTAACTGGGAAAAGACGCTCCCATGCCGTCATTGCCTCTCTAATCTCTGTGGCTTACTGTGCCGGGTGTGGCCAGTCAGTGTGACAACTGGGTGAGCTGTCCCTGTTTAGTAATCGGGGGGGGGAGGATGGGGGGTTGACTGACACACAATCAGTCATGGTTGTTTTAAGATGGTTAGGTGGATGATAAAAAGGTAGAATAACTGACTCACGGTGAGAAAGCGCAATGGCAGGTAGAATCATAGAGGGCAGCAGGTACGTGAATGTAACACAGAGGAGCAGAGAGTGTGTGGGAGAGGAGAGAGGTGCAGGATAATAGAAGCAGCAAAAAGATGTACACAATGTGCTGGTGGCTATTTTTAGCCAAGGACAAAGCTCACCCACCAGCAGCCTGCCTGACCAGTGTTTGATGGCTGCTTTTGTTGGTATTGTGCATCATTTGGGGATGCGGTCCTACTTTTAGGGGATCTTTGTGCAAGCCTGTTTGTATTACATAAGGCCAGAAATAGTTTCTGGGGTCCGGCTTAGCCTGCATCCAATGACGGCCTACAAAATGTCCTCGACAATGCCCAAGTGATTAGAAATATGGAGCACATAAATCCTCACCGAGCTGCAGCTGGTCCCCCAATGGAAATCGATCAGCAATCAGATAGCCTGCTGACCCCGGTGACTGATGTAACTCAGGGGAGGAGATGATAAATATTATTGACCCCCACCGGATGAAAACAGCTGCCGAAACGTGTCATGGCATCTCCAGCCAATGAGCGCCCATCACCCGAGGATGATCATTAAAACACCCACTGCTGCTGTCACTCCTTTTCCCCCTCCCTCTTCCCTCTCTTATGCATCCTCCACTCCAGATGGGAAGTTCATGATTCATTCATGCGCTCTGTATCAAAGATGAGAGCTGTCAGAAATCAACCTACTGCAGAGACAGTCAGGACCGCGCACAAGTGGCTGTCAATCTGTTTTCTATTAAACAGCAGAGGGACAAAATGTGAAGGAGGGACTAAGTGTCAGGCAGATTAAACAGGGAAGGCGACATGAAGGTGTTTCTTCACATTTGCTGCAGCCTCTAAATTAGAACACGGTGCCCCAGAGAACTGTGCAGCAGCGCCCGGCGCCCCCACAGCAGTGTAGGAGAGACAAAGTCTTCGGTACAGCTGCGCTCTGTGACTCAGATAATCTTCACAAATGTCTGCAGTGTGTGCTTGACTGAAACTGGTACAGAATGTGTGTACACAGAGAATGTGTGTACACTTCTGCGTCCCTGCAAATGAAAAGTCTGATTTTCCTGTTTGTCCACAATATCCTGCTGCTGCTGCGTGTGTGTGTGTGTGTGTGTGTGTGTGTGAGAGAGACTGATTGCATGAGCAGAAAGTGTTTTTGCATAGTTAAGTGAGGTGTGGGAAATGATTACACAGTTAAAATGTGATTTTACATTTATTATTCAGTGTTTTTAATTTTCTGCGTGCTCCCTGTAACCTCGCCATCAAATAACTTGACTTTTTAATTATAAATAATCGACTCCCAACAAAAGGAGGGCGTTAAAAATAAGGTTTAAATTGGATAAATTGTTTCTTTTGTTATTCTATAACCACATTTTCACCGAAAAAAAAAAATACTCACAGCACATGTTTGACCTTTCAGTGTTTTTAATTTTCTGCGTGCTCCCTGTAACCTCGCCATCAAATAACTTGACTTTTTAATTATAAATAATCGACTCCCAACAAAAGGAGGGCGTTAAAAATAAGGTTTAAATTGGATAAATTGTTTCTTTTGTTATTCTATAACCACATTTTCACCGAAAAAAAAAAATACTCACAGCACATGTTTGACCTTTGCTCGTCCCTTTCTCTTCCTTCCAGATCACGTGAAGCAATCAGGGGGTAAGGTCCTGGTCCACTGCGAGGCGGGTTCACCCTCCCTACCTCTTGCCTGCAGTCCCCGGTCCACCACCAGTTCAAACTGAGCCCAATAACTGCACTGCCTTAAAGGAACTGCGACTGCTTGTAGTCTTACTTGAAATATTAAAAAATAAAAGCTCTGTTTGCCTGTTGTTGAAACCAGCACAGTAGAAAGACCTGCGATCAGACGTGCTGTTTCCCCGTCTTCTAAACTGCTGCTGAGGAACAACACAGCACAGTGATTTAACTGCAATATACATGCCTTAGGTTGATATTGTGATTTTTTGCCTATTCACAAATACAGTCAGGCATTGAAACCTAATTTATTTAAAATGACAGTCTGTCTGATTTTTTCAATAATGTGGATGTTAACGTGTTTAATAAATGTTTTCGTCACAAAAATTAAAGCTTGTTGCCATGTGGTCATTGTTGGATTGTTTGTTGGAAAAAAAAGCGATTTTCTAGTCTTCTGACGACTCAAAGTGCTTTCACACTGCAGGTCACACCTACACATTCACACACTGATGGTAGAGGCTGCTGAGTAAAGAGTCCATCAGTATTAACTCATCCATTCATACACATTCACACACTGATGGTAGAGGCTGCTGAGTAAAGAGTCCATCAGTATTAACTCATCCATTCATACACATTCACACACTGATGGTAGAGGCTGCTGAGTAAAGAGTCCATCAGTATTAACTCATTCATTCATACACATTCACAAACTGACTCAGCCTTATGCAGCCGCCCGACAACCAATCATGGTTTATACTGCCTACCAGTCAGCAAGATGGAAGACTCCATCACTGGCTACTACGTTGAGTCTATAGACCAAAGCAGGAGAGACAACAGTGACACCTGCAGTGACCGACTTGGACTTCATAAACAGACTTCCTAGATAAGGGGTTCTCAAATGTAGCCATGCCAACGACCCCCATATAGCATCAAACTCAGGTGGAGACCCCCGCTCAAAGAAAGATTCATAAATTCCTTTTACACCACGATTGCAAATATCAAAAATGACACAAACAGCTTCTTAAAATGCTTCTATGTTTTATTAACAATTAAAATGTGTCAGACTTTTACAAGTTCTGTCTCAACAACAATCAGCAGTCATCGTAACAGTAAACATATTCCTCTCCCTTGTTAATTACATTCAATATGTCGTCTTCTGTTTTATTTTAAATTATTGAAAGATTGTAAAAGAAAAGGAACAAAACTTTGGCTATGCATCGATCAATAACATCTAAAAAGACATACATCAAAATGTTATGTACCGTAAAATAGCCTGGGCTTTAATTTCCATCAGTTGTTAAAATGACCCGGCCTTTATTTGGGACAGGCTTCAGCACGAGACGAGCCTTTTATTATTAAAAGTTATTTGTGAGTACAGCAACGATGTATGGGAAAGACTATGAAATCATAAATTGACACCATAAAGTATGGAATATGGTTATTGATAAACGAGTTCAATTACAAATCACTCACTTGTTCTTAGTAAGACTTCTCTGACCTGTTGCACAGTCTTTTGTTTTTTAAAGTCTCTAAACTTAAAATAAAGATTAAGACACATTCAACATTTAATTTCTTATGTTTGATCCCCTAACGAATCATCACTGAGAGCATCGAGGCCTCTGATTAAGACCTGCCTTTATTTGTCCAAACATCCGGCAACAACATGGGAGCCGGGCCTTAAATTGGGATGAACTTCTATTTGAAGTTTTAAGGTATAATAATATTAGTTCAAGTTGATTTTTGTTCCCGTTTCCCCCCCCCCCCCTCTGCCCTCTCAGTTTCCATGACCCCCAGGGGGTCCCGACCCCCAATTTGGGAACTACTGTCCCAGAAACCCATCATTGTGTACACCCAGAAGGCCTGAACGATATGAGAATAATATGCAATGTGCACAACAGTGTTCAATTAATTCTAAGTCTTAATGGTCCTGTATTGTTCACCTCTTATTTTAATTTATCTATTCTGTTTTGATTTTTCTTTTGTAAGGTATTACCTACTTCTGACTTTGTGCTGCTGCATTGCCTGAATTTCCCCTCTGGGCATCAATAAAGTAAGATCTTATCTTAATATTAAGAGATGACGAATTGTGATTGTGAACAATAAAGAATGCTGCATATCAGCTTTAACTCAGCCTGTCTGCTGGTCTTCATGTTTTACACAATGAGTGTATCATGTTCCTCCTGAATACAGAAAAAAATCCAAAAAGAGATTTGATTTGTCAACTAAATTGGCACCAATTAATCAATCTGAGGATAGATTATAGTTCGCTTAGCTTCATCTGACTGCATCATAGTGGTTTGGGGGCATCAACTTTTCACTCAGGTGTCCATCCAACAGGTATAATGTATCCTACACATGCTGAGTAAGAAAAATGCATTGCTTCATTAAAAATAATTGTATTTGTTGCGGTAAAATCAGACTTGCATGATGTGTTTATCGCATTGCAATAACGATATAATTGACCAGCCCCAATAGGTTAATATGTTGTGTGCAAAAGGAAATTATATTGTGCGCACATTTGCACAAGATATGCTTATTTGTTTTTTGGATTGTTTGGTACTTCAGGGCCTCTGCGATAATACATTGATTTATAATTTATCCGTATTCAAAAATACAATGTCATAGAAAATGTTTTACAAGAATGAATGTACACAGCTGAAAAAATATATCAAGGGGAAAAACAGTTAACTCTACTCCATTTAACTCGAGGGCTCTCCTTTTCTTCTTCGGTGGTTAGCGCTTTCATCGCTGACTCTTCTGTCTTTGGCGCCTAGAACAGAGGCATTTGGACTGTACCAACTCCGTAAAATAGGGAGACCCATTAAAAGAAATCGGACCACTAAGGTTCTTTTCGCACATAAACATGTGATCAATAATTAACTCTCCTGTATATCACTTATCATTATTTCATCGTTACATAATATTCTTAAATTCCTTATTACACATAATTTCGTTAATGTTTTAATACATTTTAAAACACTGTTTTCTCTTAATGGTATTATCCATTCTATCCCGCCCCCCCGCCGCCATTTTCCATGTTATTCTCTTTAACCACACAGTGTTTCATCTAATTTTAATGCATCGTTTTCTATTATTTTTGTCAAGTTTGGGTTATTAAACTCCCGGCTTCTCCGGTTTAGTGGAGGGAGGGAACTTATCCACAAAATCAGCCGAGCAGACGACCTGCTCAGACCGCCATGTACATCAAACAGGTAAGCTAACGGCTGGTACATGTTAGCCAAACGTCCACACAGTTAGCTTAATGAATGAAGCCGATAATTGCACATTTATTCTGAGTCGAATATGACTGCAAAGCTGACTAACTCACGTCAGAGACTGTTATAAATGAAGTAGCTTTACTGTGAATCGTGGCTAATGCTACATGGATTAATAATGAGTCACGCATCCTCCTTCTCGGCATGTTGAGCTAATGCTGCTAAAGCTAACGCGAGCGCTGCTGTTCGTAGAGTTTTATTGTGTTTCTCTGCAGCATCGTCACATTAAGTAGAAGGTTTAGTAATGTGTGCTTTTCTTAACTGTGCATCCACGCAAAGCCGCTAATGAAGCCGTCCTGTCCTGTGGTGGACTCTGTCCGAGGCCTCGTCGAGATCTGAGCTCGTTTACGATGCAGACATGTCGAGGAAGTCTTACTGCTGCGTTCAGGAACAGTTCTTGTCTTGCTACTGAAGTACCAACACTAGCCCTGTGTGGCTCCTAGATTCAGTCATGTTTTTGTTTCTTTATTTCTTCTTAATGTTAAGTGACCGCCTACCAACACGTGTGTAGATGTGGGACAGAGATCTGTGTTCGTAGTGCTGAAATTAACTACAATGTTACAATTCCCTTAGCAGACACTTTCATCCAAAGCAACACTAATCCATTCATACACTGCCACTGAAGCAGCGGGAGCAATGCGAGTTTAGTCATCTTTTCATCTCGAGGATCTTGTTTTCATGATTCATTTCCATGCCCTTAAGCTGTTAAGTTGTTTCTATATTTAGTAATAACACATTTCTGTTTGATTGATTAGAAGAAAAATATATTTTGTTAAAGTCTGTTGTTGAGACATGCTACAAACACACGCACAAACAGGATCCTCTGGACTAATGCAGAGATGTCAGAGTGAGAGGGGGGTTGCACATGAAAGAGTGCCTGAGCAGTAGTTCATTGCCTTGCTCAAGGGCCTATCGGCAGGGCTCAGGAAGTTAACTGGCACCTCTCCGGCAACCAGACCGATTTCCCAACCTGATCCGCACCTCAACTTAAACCAGCTACCCATCCGTTCCCAACCCAAGTCCCTACAGATTAAGCTACTGCTGCCCCATGTTTTGGTGTCATATTGTATCTGCATCCTTCACCACTTTACAGACTCTCGATCCAGTGTATCATGCATCTCCTTGTTTCATCACCAGTCACCAAGGGGTTCCCAAACTTTTCATCTCCCGATTACCAAAATAAGGGTGCCAGAGACTGGGGACCCCTACTGTCCCTGGAGGCTGTTAAGGCATAAAATGTAGTGCACAGCCAAGCACACAATAGACTGTAAATAATAATGGATGAAGTCTGAGTGACGTCACCCATTTGTTAGTGGGGGGGCGCTGGAGTCCCATTGATGGCGGTCTCCGTGCTGGAAATGCTGCCTAACTCCAACTTTCAGTCAACCCAACGACAGGCTGAGAGCTGGAGCTGAGGCGGGTTTTAAGCATCACAAGCTCAAATTAAAAAGGCGAGGATGCTGTGGACTCTGTTCTTATGGTGGTCTTTGGTTTTTTGTGCAGGTCATCATCCAGGGGTTCCGAAGTTACCGGGACCAAACTGTGGTGGACCCGTTCAGTCCAAAGCACAATGTCATTGGTGAGTATCTTATCCCCTTTTGTCCCGTATGCTTTTATTATACTGTACTGTGCGTTTCATTAGCTTGTCAATATGAGTGTAAGAGAATTCATTTAAAAAGACGGCACCTGCTTAATTTACAAAATACCAAATGTGATTCCTCATTCTTTCAATTGAACAACCTCAGATGAATTTAGATGACACAGCCATTTTCAAA